GTGAAAAACTAAATTGAAGTATCAGAATTATTTGCTTTAGTTCCTATATTGCATGTGTAGCAACACTATTTATGGCCTAGGAATTTGTGATCCACTTTGATCCCGAAGGAAAGCTCAAAGTATGTGAAGGGTCAAAGCTAGAGAATTTGTGATCCACTTTGATCCCGAAGGAAAGCTTAAAGTATGTGAAGGGTCAAAGCAGAAATTTATTGAAACATTTTCGTATGTCATCAAATATAAGCAAGGCAGATTTGATTAAAACATTGCAAAAGGAGGTGAAGGAAAGAAGGTGATGATTTTTCTGATTCGAGGACGAATCGAGGGGGAAGATGATAAGAATCACAATATTTCAAATGGACCTATTGTCAAGAAGATTCAAGAAATGTCAGGAAGATTCAAAAATATCAACAACAGAATTCAAAACCGACGTGGAGAGAGTCTAATTGATTTCAAACCTATCGCCTTAGCCACTCAAGCACATCAACATTTGATGTTGGAAAGTATTATTTTTAATTCTAAAATAGATAAGGGTCAAATGGTCTACCCACAATATGTTATATAAAAATCAGATTCATAGATGAATGTAATTCAGATCTCAAATTGAAACATTTCCCTTAGAAATCCGAGCATCATATTTGTCATTTCTAAGTTTCAAGCAATTCTTGTGGCCAAGTCATTCTATCAAGCCTTGATCAAGTTCGATTGTAGAGTGACTCAATTTAGAACAAGGTTTCCAAATCTTTTCAAATCTTTCCAAATCTTGCTTCTAAATCTTCGATCGTAAGAGGTAATCTAATCCTAGTCTTATCTCTTAGTTTATCCGAATTTTGTATAAGGAGGTGTTAATTACTTTGATTCAAGGGTTCTTGCTTCATCAAAAACTTGGATCGTTGGGTTGAGGATTAGGAGTTGCCTTATCAAAAGCAATAAAGGAAAACAATAAAGTGATACAAGGCAATGGTTTTGACATGTAACGGGCATGCGGCCATGGGAACACACCTTCAACAAACATGACCGTGACACTGAGCACAAGAACAAAACAATCATGAATATGGTTAGAAGTATATTATCAGAGAAACAAGTTCTAAAGAATATTTTTGCCAGAAGCAGTAAACTGGACAGTGCATGTGCTCAGCAGAAGTCCTACAATGGTAGTGAAATATATGACTCCTGAGGAGGCTTGGAGTGGTGTAAAACCTAATGTTGATTATTTTCGAGTTTTTGGATGCATTAATCATGTTCATGTATCAGACAGGAAGAGAAAGAAGTTGGATGACAAAAAATTTTAGTGCGTGCTCTTAAGGATGAGTGAAGAATCTAAAACAAGACTCTATGATCCAATGTCCAAGAAGATAATTGAAGCAGAGGTGATTTTTGAAGAAAATATGTGTTGGGATGGGAAAAAAAAGTAATGAACAAGCCAGACTTGATACATTCAAAAGGGAAGATAGTAAGACAGAAGGAAGAGAATCTGACCAAAGTGAGGAAGAATTTGAAGAGGAGGTGGTAGTAGAAGAAGGAAAGGAAGTTAATATATCTTCTAGTGAGTCATCGGAAGAAAATTCTTCAACATCTGAAGAAAGCATACTAGAAGGGAGGAACAAAAGAGCACCATTGTGGATGGAAGATTATGTGAGTGGAGGAAAATTTTCTAAAGAAGCCGAACACATCAATTTTGTTCTATTAACCACAACTACAGATCCGACTACTTTTGAAGAAGTTGTTCAAAGCTCAAAATGGAGAGTTGCAATGGACTTGAAGATAGAAGCCATTGAACGAAATAAAACTTGTGAATTGACAGATTTGCCTAAAGGAATGAAGAAGATTGGAGTGAAGGGTTTTTAAAACTAAACTCAACGAAAATGGCGAAGTTGACAAGTATAAGGCTAGGTTAGTGGCAAAAGGGTATGCACGACAACATGGTATAGACTATACTGAGGTGTTTGCACTAGTTAAATGAAGCAGTGTTTGTTGAGCAACCACAAGGTTACGAGAAAAAAGGTGAAGAGTACAAGGTGTATAGATTGAAGAAGGCAATATATGGCCTTAAACAAGCCCCCGATGCATGGTACAGTTGAATTGAAGCACATTTTATTAAAGAAGGATTTGAGAGGTGTAACTATGACAATACTTTATTCATACAAACAAGAGATTAGGTAAAATTTTGATTGTTGACGATCTAATTTTTACTGGTAATGACGAGAACATGTGTGTTAAGTTCAAGAATTCTGTGAAACTTGAATTTGAAATGATTGATTTTGGGAAAAATGAAATATCTTCTGTGTAGAGGTTTTTCAAAATCATAAAGACATTTATATCAAAGAAAGTACACCAAAGAAGTTTCGAAAAAGTTTAGGATGAAGAAGAGAAATAGTGTGAAGAATCATACTGTTCCTGGGGGTTAGACTGATAAAGGATGAAGAAGGAGCCAAGGTCAATGCTACTATGTAGCAACAATTGATTGAAAGTCTTATGATCTAGATCTAACTGCATCAAGGCCAAATTTAATGTATGGTGTCTCTCATTAGCAGATTTATGCCAAGTCCAACTGAGTTGCATTTGCAAGCAGCAAAAAAGGTATTGAGATACTCAAAAGGTACCGTAGACTTGGAAGTCCTTTATCGAAGAATGGGTAATGGAGAGTTGATAGCCTACACTGACAGTGATTAAGGAGGAGATGTAGATGATATGAAAAGCACTTTTGGTTATGTGTTTTTACTCAGTGATGGAGTTGTGTGTTGGTCCTCCAAGAAACATGTAATCACTATGTTATGTGCTTGTCAAGGGGTGAGGATGAGGAGAGTTTTGGAAAAATTTGGTCAATTTTAAGACAAGTGTATCACTATGTTATGTGATAACAATTCTACCATTAAGCTATCCAAGAATCCAATTATGCATGGACACAGCAAACACATTGATGTGAGATTTCATTTCTTGCGTGAGTTAGACCAGAGATGGAGTGGTTGAGTTGAAGCATTGTCATACAAGAACAAGTGGTAGATATTATGACAAAACATCTGAAGTTGGATGCGTTTATAAAATTGTGTGGGTCAATGAGTATGTGTCTAGTACTAGGAGTAAACTAAAAACATTTATGCAATTAGTTCAGGGCAGAAATTGTTTGGACGGTTAGATTAGACCATTTTTTGGGTGTTCGGACCTCCAAACGTTAGTGGGTTGTTAAGTTTATTATTTGTAAAGCTTACTACTTTTATCGTTTATTAATTTCATCGGTTCTATAAATGTTTGAGGGATATATACACACCAATCGTATGTTTTGTAAATATACCATCTTATCCTTTTTTCAAATGTGAATCTTATCTTGGTTACGGTTATTTTTAATTTCATAAAAATAACTTTTTTATTATTATTAATATATCACATTTTAAAAGAATATTATATTAGATGTGTCACATATTCTTATATTGACTAAATCCTAACAAATCTATTAAAAGAATAATTATAATATGCCATTTTAAATGGCAAATCTTAAGAGATTACTAGTTTTTGTTAGTGTTTTGAATATGAATTTTGTATATTAAGGACCAAATTCAGAATCCCACTTCGATCCGTTTTCTTCCTTCTCCCTGCCTATAAACATTCACCGCCCTAGCGTTCTCCTTACGCTCTCTTTCTTTCTTCACCTTTTCCACTCTCCGTTTATCCTTCCATTCTCTCCCTCCTCCAATTTTGTTTGCAGCCATGATCGTCTACCATGACCAACTTACAGGTATTTCCCCCTCTCCTTCTTCAATTCCCCCTTTAAATCCTTTTTTGTTTCTGTTTCGCTCTTACTGTTGCTCCCAATCTTGCTCCCCCAAGAAATTTTATCCTTCTTTATGTATTGGATCATTCAATGCCGAAGTTCGGATTGGTTTGGGGCTTTTAGGTGTTCTGTTTTTGTGCTTGACTAGACTCCATTAATGAACTCAGGTGATGAACTTCTGTCAGACTCCTTCCCATACAAGGAGATTGAGAATGAGATGTTGTGGGAAGTGGAAGGAAAGGTAAGGAAACTGACATATTCTTCTAGTAATCTGCAAGTCTATTGATTCAACTAATAACGAATCATAGATGAAGTTTTTTCGAGACTGACATGAGTTTAATCCCTGTGTTTTGCTTATTTGTCTGGAGTTTCTTATTCTGGGTAATTTGGCCTTTGGATAACAGTGGATTGTACAAGGAGCAGTGGACGTAGACATTGGGGCGAACCCGTCTGCAGAAGGAGGTGAAGAAGATGAATGCGTGGAGGAAGAAGCTGTGAAGGTTGTGGATATTGTTGACACCTTCAGACTTCAGGTAAGAAAGAGTTGTGTTTTTCATTTCATTGGTATATAGTTTGGTTTTGAATGAATGGGTAAGAGAGGAGTGTTGTGTGTGCGTGGGCATATATATTGGCAGGAACAACCTCCATTTGACAAGAAGCAGTTTATCACATACATGAAAAGATACATAAAGCTACTAACTCCCAAACTGGATGAAGAGAAACAAGAGGTGTTTAAGAAGCACATTCCAGAGGCAACCAAGTTCCTGCTCAGCAAGATCAATGACCTCCAATTGTAAGTTGAAGCTTTGTTTATTGTTAGGACACATCAAGAAGTTTGGTTATTAAGCTCAAATGGGTTGAATTGAATGCAGCTTTGTGGGGGAAGGCATGCATGATGATGCAGCTCTGGTTTTTGCATACTACAAAGAAGGGGCGACTGATCCTACATTTATCTATATTGCCTATGGGTTGAAGGAAGTCAAGTGCTGAAGGAATCCCATCTTTTTCTGCTCGCAATACTTCTCTTTTTCTTTTTTATATGCTAAGCTAATTTACATCAACTTTATGCCCCCAATCCCAAAATACAATATACTATAATATAATATATGGCATGCATTATTTTATCATCTTTGTTTCGTAAGATCGTTTCGCTTTTGAGAGTATATTATTCGAATGACGAAGAATAGGCAAGTAAAATAACATGAAGAATAAGAAGATAACACGCTTGAAGTTATACATTCAACCTTCTAATCACTAAAATTGAATTTTATGGTCTAAAATGAAAGTTATGCGTAAAAAGAATGTGTGGAATTGTATGATAAATGGGTAGATACATGCTCAATTATGTGACGAAAACAAATGCATGTTCATTGTTCATATAAGGCATGCCTAGAGAAAGCTAGAGACTTGCCTGCTTCTCCAACCCTCTAATGCTTTTCATCAACGTCCATTGCCTCGACTCTAGAATCGTACCCAGATGGTAGAGTGTCCAAGATCAGGTAACTCTCAACTAAATCACCAGGTTTTAATTTGTTGGAATCAACAATCCCAACAACAGGTAAAAAGATTGTCTGCAGTCAAAAACAAAACACGCTGGGATTTCACATGGTCCAGAGATTAAATGAATAGAACGAATCAGAACTCTTGTCTAGTTTAAAAAAAGCATGAGCCATAAATTGAATCAAGTATGACATTTTCACAATAAAGAAGTTAGATTTTAAACTGTAACCAACTAATCTTAGTCTGATACTGAGTGATAGTGCTATACCATAACAACATTATGAAAATCATAAAAACCAGGTAACCAGACCATCACAACACTGCATCCTAAAATAGAAAAAAGTTGGATCTCTGAAGAGAGGAGCCCGCAAAATATCCATCCGCGTTTGAATATGTAAAAAATGGCATACATAACCTGATCCCTAAAGAAGTAAAGCACCACTACATTGGGAAATAGAGCAATAGAATTCTCTAGAGTTTCATTGCTATTTCTCTGATAGCTATAAGGTTATCTATAAAAGCAGAATAGTAACTCACCTGGCGAGTAGGTGCGTTTAACGCAACACATTTTCGATTTCTTTGTGAGTCAAGATCAATATTTGCACCATCTCTTCAGCTTCATCTTCTGGGTTCATTTCCAGAATCTGGTAGCATCAAAATCATATGTAGAGTTAAATTTCAGGCACATAAAAACTTGAAATAAAATAAACAACTCAAATCAAATAAAACCCAGAGTGGTAGAAGTTATACCCCAAATTTTTTTTTATAGATACTTACTAGCCATTTTAATCATAACATAAAATCCGTGATCTACTGACATAAATAATGAACTTTATCTTGTCATAACAAAAACACGACGTATTAAAAATTGGGGGTGTTTGGTTGAAATTTGGTATTAAGAACAGCAATATGTTCTCTATAACAAATACGAATAAAAACATGTGTTTGTTCACTGTTTTTTAAAGTTATTTTCTCTTATTGATTCATTGTTCTTAGTTACTCTCATGTTTGCTTCTTTCTGAAAATAGCTACTTCTTTTACATCGGCACGTAAATGGTTGCAAAATTCCCTAAATATTACAACTCACTCAATCACAGCTTTCAAAACTACTAATACAATTTCTAACTATATTGACCGAATGAATGAACAGATGTAATCTACATGTGACGAGAGAAATTAACTCAACTATATTCCCGACCAAATAAGGTAGCTGCTTATTAAGTTTAATCTTCTCCTGGTCCTCGTTTACTTTTTTCCTTGAAAAAATCCCACTCCAAATTCGTCCTTTGCACCTCTTCCTTCAAACCCCAAAATTCGAACAAAATCAGATACCATCACCATTCATCAACAGAAAACGGCAATATCCATCGAACATTTTATATATCATAAGATGCATACAAAACTAGGAAGTCGAAATTCATCACATTATTTAGCTCATTACAACAAATATTCTGTCAATCCAACTTCTCGCCCACAAAAATCAAGGGCACCAAACACATACTCGCACACTATTTATACAACATCATCAGAGGAACTTCGACCTAATTAAGATGTATTGTGGCGCAGAATATGAACAAAAAAGTAGAAATTCTGAGACCTTGAAGATCCGAATCTCGTTTTCTAGAAGACGAGGAGCTCGAATGATGCGATCTGTGGTGAATGAAGCCAACTGGTCTTGTTCGAGGATCGCCATTTCGAGTGGAATCGCCTGAGCTCACAAAAACTGAAGGCGAAAATTTCATCAACCGATCTTCAGAGAGGGATAAATGAGTTTAGAATTGGGAGAATAGCTTCAGGTGTAATTGTTGCATGAGAAACAAACTATTTCATTCCCCCTGTTCGTGGGCTTGGGCCTTATTGGGCTGTGTTGTTTCTCAGTTTCATTTTTTTAACAAAATATTTTAGCCGAAATTCATATATTAAAATTAAATTTATGAAAAATATTTTTTTTATACATTGATAAAAAGAAAATAAATAAATAAATTCATAGGTAAAATGTACTATTTTTTTATTTTTTTTATTTTTAAAAAAGTAATACTTATTAAACGTGACGTTGGAAATTACCATGCGTAAACTGTGATGACAAATATTTTGGGAATCTGACTTTTAAACGAAATACTAAGCTCAATTGTAAATAAAATTTATATTTTTAACCTCTGTGGAAGGTTAATTGGCAAACCCTTCCACGAGGTTATATAGTCACTTTAGATTTAGGAGAGCGACCTCATGTGTCGGCGAATTACTATATTCAACTGTGTGATCCCTCACCTCCTCTCAGGGTGAGTTTAAGAGACCTTTACTCATTCCCACAAGGTGATACCACCTAGTCGTCTCAATGCGCTACCCTTAACGACCTAGGCCTAGCTCGACAATATCCTCCTGTGGACCTACCGCTTGGCACGAGCGAGGTTTTAAAAAGCAATATTATGGTCTAAAAGCAAATAAGTAATAACCACAGCTTTAATAGCGTACAAGGTGCGTATGAAAGATTCACAACTAATCACATTCTCCTATACTACATTTTTTTTAACCCGACTTTTCACCAATTTTTTAGAAAACTAAATGTTTATTCTCCCTCTTTCATAGCATAATCTTTAAAATGCTATAGTGAAAAACTATTGTATGTTATAGTTCTTGTAGGCGTCAATACCAATATCTAAATAATGGCAAATATTAGGATGAAATAACAAGGAAAGGAAGATCTCGAAATATAACTTACCTTCGTATCATAGCGAAATCTCTCTTCATGTGAATTTGCAATAAACCAATTAGAGGCAATTTTGTTTTTTTTTTCTTTCTTTCTTTTTGTTGCAGTAACTACGTATTAGTCTCGTTTGAGAAGGTTGGTTGAGATATCATAGAGAGATTATCTAATTCATAAGGATACGAAAAGGTAGTATTAGAACAAAAATGAGAAATGCTCACAAAAAACGCATCATTTTTATTACATTACTATCCATTTCATTTTTTTTTCCTCCTCATTATTATTATTTATCCTTCTTTATCCATAATGTTATTGAATGGAAAGAATTATTTATTTTTCTGGTTTTTTTTTCTTTCTTTTTAATCGATTAATTAATTAACTGATTTTGCTTTATTTATCATTTTATTAATTTTTTTAGGTAATGGATATCACACGCATATATATCATACATGTACAGGCATGGACATGCACCACCTACATCATTCAATTATCTAACTCCAATAGTAAGGTTAGTACCTAATTGACTTAGCTGATGTAGCCAATTTATGGGCAATGAAAGCTGAATTTGGTTGGGATTTATGTTTTAAAGACCTCGTAATTAATTATTTAATTTTTAATAATAATTTTTATTATTTTATTTAATAATTTAATATTGTTCCGGATATGAAAATCTAAAGTTATTAATATAATCTTGAATAGTATGTGGTTGACATACAAAAGGATCGTGTTCAAGTAATAAGCTAAATCTATAGTATATGGATAAGGTAGTACCTAATTCTAGTAACACTATTGATACAGTCTTACTTTGTGATCGTTACAAATGATTTGATACAAATAGTTTGTGTGAAGATATGTGAGTGGGACTATCATATACAATGAGTTTGTATAAGACTGGACCAAGAAATATTTAATCTCTATTTATAAATCTGTTAATTGAGAAGATTAATATTTAACATAATAATCATATGCGACTTGGCTTAATCGTGAGTGAGTTATGAACTCCTGTGAGCGCTTGTCCTTTAATTTGCATGGGTGAGAATGACTTTTGTAGCCTATTTAATGTCTACCATTTTGGAGGCTTGACCAAATAGGGAGTTTGGGAATATAATTGGGCCGAGAAGAACTTGGTTTATGATTGGATCATAAACAAATTGTTCATTAAAGAATCGGTGATACTTAAAGTGAAAGATGTAATTACTGGAGAAAAATAAGCTTTTGATCCATCTATAATTATGAATAACTAGGACTATAATATGGAATCCGCCCAATGGAAAGCTCTGATGTCAAATGATAAGGAATCATTACAAGGGAGTAAGATTTAGATTATCTTGTCGATCGAATATCTCAAGACGAGAACACTTTTTGAGATTCAAATCACTCCACAAGCAAGATTGATCATGTCGAGCTTGAATAATTTTACATGCAACCTAAACTACATAGAATTGCAAAGAAACTTAGTCATTGACGAAAGGAAAACACAAAAGCTCATTTTACCATATTTTCCAAGTCTTCCTTACAAATTTAACATACATGGCTTTATATAGGCTCAAAATGAAACACTTACCATTTCAAGAGTTGGTAACATTCATACTCTATGACCATAACTAGTCATGATGTATACTTTATTACTATAATTAGCCACTATGTAAATGTAACTTTACCATAAGTAAAAAGTCTCAAAATATATTAATGAAATACAATAACTCTAAATTACTTTAAATTGTAATCAACACAATATTTATAACAATGAAGTTTCATTCTTCTTCAATGTAGACATAACTTATCTTACCGTGCATAAGAGTGCAACTCTCTAAGTCTATAATGGAGTGAATTATAGTTAATGAATGAAAATGGATTAATTAAAGAGTTTACTTAATTAATTTTGTATCATTGGAATCCATAATTGATAGGTCTACAAGGTCCACCTACCCACCGTAAAAGTTCAATTTAATGGAAAGGAAAATTTAAAGGATTTAAATTAATATTTAATATTTGTGATTTACTAAAATGAAAAAATATATTTATTGTATTTGATATATTAAATATTAAAATACATCAAATTAAAAATATATTTAAAATTTGAAATTTGAATGAGATTCAAATTAATTGAGAGATATTATGATATTTTATAAATTTAAGTGTGATTTATATAAGATATTATATTTTAATATATTAGATATTTAAATAATTATTTAACAAGATTCTCTAAAGATTCCGTTCATATTGAGTTAATAGACACAAATTTCTCCCGAAACTACCTATACAAAAATGATTCTCTCGAAACTCTCCTCTAATATTTTGGGATTGAATTTCTTTCAAAATGTTGGTGGCTGGTAACCATTCATTATCCAAAAGACATGCACCTAATTAATTATGAACTAAACAACCTACATGTATCTATTCAAATATGTCCTTATACATGTATCTACAAGTAATCCTTCAACACCCTCCCTTATACTGAATTCTGCAGAGATCAGCTTAGAACTTCACTTCATCTTCTTCAACTACATCTTGGATTCTGCACATCTCCATCTTTTTTCTAAGCTTCTCGAATGGTTTCAAGGGCTGTGTGAATAGGTCTGCGATTTGTTCATCACTTCAACAAAAATTGAGTTCAATAGTGTTTTCTTTACACAAATCAAGCAAGAAATGAAATCGAACATCGATGTGCTTACTCCTTCTGTGCAACACAGGATTTTTAGACAACTTAATAGTTGACATATTATCACAATATATAACCATCGTATCTGGTTGCTTTTGATTAAGCATTTCAAGCATCTTTCTTAACCAAATTGCTTGGCACGAGCATGCTGCTGTTGCCACAAACTCTGCTTCTGTAGCCGAGAGTGTTACAATAGGTTGCTTCTTTGAAGACCAACAAATAGCTCCTGAACTCATCATAAAAATACTTCTTGAAGTACTTTTATGATCATCTATATCACCTACATAGTCGGTGTCTGTATAGCCAACCATCTTCAAATCAACTTTTTTTTTTTTTAGAATTCCCCTGAATCAAAAGTTCCTCTCACATAACGAAGTATCCTTCTTGCTGCATTGAGATGTTTTTCTGTTGGATGCTCCATGTAGTGACTTATCATACTAACCGCATACATGATGTCTAGTCTTGTTGAAGTTAAGAACATCAAACTTCCCACAATTTGCTTGGAGTACCTATTATCAACCTCTCGCCCTTCAAAATCCTTGTATAACTTCAAACCCAATTCTGATGGAGTTTCAAATGTACGCTCATCCATTTTAAATCTTTCAAGCAACTCTTAAGCATATTTCTTCTAACAGATAAAGTTACCAGCGGCAGTTTGAGTAATTTCTACTCCAAGAAAATATCGTATCAAACCAAGATCTGTTATTTCAAATACCTTCATTATGCTCTTCTTAAAAAGTTCAACATTTTTTAATTATTGCCAGTAAATATTAAATCATCAACATATAAGCAAATAATGAGAATGTTACCTCCCTTTTCAGTTTTCAAATACCACATGTTTATATGGGAATTTAGTGAATCCCATCTTTTCAAAATGAGAATCAGTGCGATTGTACCATGCTCTCGAAACTTGCTTCAAATCGTACAGAGCTTTCTTCAACCTGTACACTTTTTCTTCTTTACCTTTTTGAACAAAACCTTCCGGTTGCTCCACATATACCTCTTCTTGAAACTCTCCATGTAAGAAGGTCGATTTTACATCAAGTTGATAAATAGACCATGATTTTTTTTACTGCAATTGAAATTATAAGCCTTATAGTATCTTGACGTGCTACTCGTGCAAATACCCCTTTATAATTAACTTCATACTTCTGCTTGTATCCTTTTGCAACTAAAGGTGCCTTGTACTTACCCACCTCACCATTTTCATTTAACTTGGTTTTGAAAACCCATTCTACTCCAATTGTTTTCTACCCTTTAAGAAGATCAGTGAGCTCCCAAGTCTTATTCTTCTCTATGGATTTGATTTCATTGTCCATGACTTCTCTACCTTACTTCTTTTTTACAGCTTCTTCATAGACAATGAATCACTATCCATAAAGAAGGCAAAATAAGCACTATCACTTGAGTTAT